TTGGCGCCAGCCTCAGCTGACCTCTACCCCTACCCCCTCTGCCAAAACCCTGCCAGCCTCCTGGCCTCTGTTCTTGGGGGGGTAACCCTACACTGCACCGGTGGCCCCTAATGCAGGACGTATAGATCTGTTGGGGCTGGGAGCCTCCTGGCCCCAACTAATGCAGCCGATGAGACTTCATTATGGGGGTGTCCCTCGAGGGGTGCCCTTTGCCCTGCCCTCCTTGGGAGGAGAGCGAAGAACAAATCGGGGACCCCATCCACGGTGACGCAGAGACGTGTCGCTGCAGGGGGATGCTGGAGCGGGACCCCCTGCATCTGTCCTTTACATCTGTCCCTACACCCCAAACAGAACCAGTGCTCTCCTTTGGGACATCCAGGGACTGCGGCATGCTGGGGGTGGGGGGAAGGGTGTCTCAGACCTCCTCTTGCCTGCGAAGGGAAACACAGAAAGGCGGAAAGCGCCCAAGAAGATTTATACTTGTTTAATTAATGTCAAATGTAGTTTACAAACGGGAGTGACAAGTACCTCTTTGTATAATATACACCGACACACAATCATCGACACACCGGAATATCGCTTTGTGCAACTGGGATTCTTTGGGCAAAGATAGGTAACTCCGATATTTCAATTTTTTTTTCTTTTTTTTTTTTTTTTTTAAATCTTTTAAACTCATTACAGAAGAGGGGAAGCGGCGGATAACTGTTACAAACCAGGATGTCTCTCTCCTCAGCCTTTCCCCTGCAGTACCTCCCCCTTCAAAACAGGGGATGGCTTTACAATTAAAACAAACCAAAAAAAAAAGTAACCCCCAAAACAAAGAACCAATGACTAGTTACATATGGGTTTACACATAGGTACACAGAGCACACGGCTGGTCCACAACACCTGCCAGAAAGCCTGGCTCCCTCCCGGGGCCTTTTTCCAAGGAAGGGCTGAGTGGGGTGTCCTGCCCTCTTCCCCCCTCCTCGCTGCCTCTCTAACCCACCCACAAAAAAAAAAATCCATCTCTGAGGCCTCAGCGCTGGCACCCAGGCACCAGCAGCCCCAGCTAGGTGGCACTTGCAACTCATCCATAACCCCCTCTCCCCCCATGATTTTTCCCCCTTTAGAAACCCAGACCCAAGTCCTGCCCTTCCCCTACCTGAGTGCTCCTGGCCACAGGGTTACCCAGCAGTGACAGCCCCCTGCTGGACCCCTTCCCTGACCTGCAGCCTTCCCAGGGGAGGCAGGACCCTCCTGGGGTCCCTCCAATCCCTCTGGTCCCCAGGAGCTCCACGGGGATGTACCCCTGAGCAGGGGAGGCCACCGCACCGCTATGGAGACATGGGAAACTACTCAATTAGGAATCTTTTGCCAAGATGCTTATAAAATACAGCTCCTTCAATTTGGTTTGCCTACTTTTTTTTTTCTTTTGGGTGCAGTGGGATCCTTTTGAAATCACTCAGATGCTGAGGACAGCAGCTGCTCACTGCAAAACAGCATCAAGCTCAGGGCAGAGAAGTGGTGATGGGACTGTCACCCTCAAAGCATCCTTTCAGCCCGTTACCGTCCTGGCAGCCCCACGGCGCTGGGGTCCCAGCTCCAAACCCCTCATCCACTGCTGTTTCCAGACCATCTTAAAACACCCCAGCCCTGTTCTGCTGCCAGGTGGGATCTGCTTGGAAAGACCCCGCCGAAGCAGGGAGGATGATCGCTCCCATCTCCCTGTCTTCTGGCTTTGGGGAGCTGGCACCCTGCCACCGCCCAAGGCAGAGCTCGGAGCAATCTGCACAGGGGGTATGCATTCCCTTTGGGAAATGGATCTGTTTCCTGGGTCCTGAAAACAAAAGAAAACTCAACAAAAAAACCAGGCCAGATGGCAGCTTTGGTTAAGGCTGATGATACGGGAAACAGGGACAAGCGTGAGGACTGCGTGGAAGAAGCTGGGGCTCGGCTTGGAAACATCTCTGCTGGCTGCAGCCCATGGGCAAGCCCTGGGGACGGCCATGGGGACAAGGCAGGGCTGGCTTGGCTCC